TTAAAGGAAACATTTTTAGTAATCTAAGACATGTTTGAAACAAAAGCTGCAGATGTTAGATTGTGGTCACATTAGCAAAATTTTGGTGAAATTTTATGGGCAAAAAACGTCCATTGTCTACTTTCAATAGCTCAGTGCTTTATGAAGCACAGCTTACACAGAAGTCACTTTCAAGCAAAACAGCTTTCTGTTGGTCAACACAGCGAATTCGAGTTGAAAAAGACTTGATGTGGAGGCAAAGAACCGCCCGACGTGAATAACAAATTACTTAAACTGCTTGTACCATGGTCATTTGTCAGCATTGACAACTTAAAGCTGTTAATTAATTATCAAGAGAGAGAGCTGAGAGATGCGGGTGTGAATTACCTGTCTGTTCTCTCTCTATTAAAAAAACGAATCTGTGAGTTTAGTTACTTCAAAACAAACGATGTTACCCTTGCTGAGAAATATAATGTAGCGATTCAGTAGCAAAGCTATTTTATTACCAAAAGTTACAGTTTGTGTGCTTCTGAATGTTTCTGTGTGTGTGCAACGTGATTTTAGAGTGACGTATGTGTGTGTGCTTCAATGAAAACAGCGAGAGTGAAGTATGCATCTCTGTGCATTCAGTGCATTAATATAGAACAGTGATTAAAGGTTGTATCAGCGATTTCAGGCCCAAAAAAGGCCCAAACATATATTATCACATTCATCTAATCTTTCCTAACGATCCGCTAGCTGCCCGCCCCATAAGCAGGCCGTCAAAAAACCACGTCTCTGTACGCAGCCTAGGCTCTGGCAATCACCGACAGGGGGTGGGTGTTGTGAGGTTTTGCGCTCGTGCACGGCTGCACGCGAAGGCGGAGCTGAAGAAGAAACCAGCGTCTATCAACGAACCCATGTTGGTGATTGGTTGGAACACTATTTATTTTGGTTTTGAGTGGTTGGTGAACCTAATTGTTTTTGTGTGCCGATCTCAGAGCCTAGGCTGGCTACAGAGACCCGTTTTTTGACGGCCTGCTTATGGGCAGCTAGCGGATCGTTAGGAAAGATTAGATGAATGTGATCATTTAAGTTTGGGCCTGAAATCGCTGATACAACCTTTAAACTGACTTGGAAATACCTGAGCATTAAATGGTTATTGCACACCTTCCAGTCAATCAGAACTGTATATTCAGACTGACCATGGTATTGTGGCATTGTGCACTTCCATAAATAAACTGTCCGCACATTCAAATCCTTAAAGCAAATTTAATAGACCAAGCTTTCGGTCAAAGACCATCCTCAGGGCATGGCCTGAGGATGGTCTTTTGACCGAAAGCTTGGTCTATTAAATTTGCTTTAAGGATTTGAGTGTGCGGACAGTTTATTTATTGAGATCTTTAGTCTTGTGTGTCTGGCACCTTGAGGATCGTGAGTGCGGTGTAACTCCTTCAAAACATTGTGCACTTCCATAAAAGGAATACAGGAGACAAAGATTCAGTTCACAAACACCCCAAAAGGTAATTGTTTACTCACTGAATGTTTACAACCTGAAACACAGGTATCAGGAGGCGTCTTAACCCCTCTCCCTCTCTCTAGGCACGCACCCTGCCACTCCCCCTAACTATCTCGGTGCAACTAAAAAGAACATCGGAAGGGTGAAGATTCGCCCTCCCAAGCTGTGACAGCACGCTCACTTCTTGTCAGGAAGTGATGACAATCAATGTTTTGTTAACATGATGGGGGCAACAAGGAACCAGAGGGGAATTGGTGGCTGTTGGTCACCAGAGGAGTCATTGGAACATATTAATGTTTAGGAATTGAGGGCAGTGTACCCTGCGCTACAACACTTCTTACCAGCTTTGAGAGACTGTCATGTGCTTGTCCGGTCCAACAACACATCAACTTTTTTCATTTGAATCATCAGGGCGGCACCAGGTCTCTCGCATCTTTATAGCTAACTCGCAAGATTCGGTTCATCTCCCAGGAGCGGACAATTAAGTGGCGGATGCTCTGTCCAAGATGAGGCTTCACCCGGATGTAGTGCAGCTGAAGGCAGTGATACGACAAGACAGAGGTGGATCTGTTTGTATCAGAACTGGCCACTTATTGCTGCTGGTGGTTTGCAAGGACCGAGACGTACAGCCCACAAGAATAGGATGCATTAGCCCACGAGTGGCCATGTTGCCTGTTTTATGCATTCCTCCTTTTCCACTCCTATGGGAGACATTACACCAAATGTTCCTTTTCAAATAGAGGGTACATTTAGTAGAACCTTGATGGCCAGCCAGGATACGGTTTCTTCTTCTTCTGAATCTTTTGCAGGGCCAACCATGGCAGCCTCCCATCAGAAGGGATCTCCTCTCTCAGCTGAACGGGCGGATTTGGCATCCGTATCCGGCTCGTCTAAAGCTTTGGGTCACGCCATTGGGTTCACTGTTGGTGGATTGTGAACCAGCAGTAATCAACACCATTGGTAATGCCAGGGCTGCTTTAACACACCAGCTTTAGGCTGCTCACTGGAGGATTTTTTCTTCTTGATGTGAGGATCGAGGAATTGATCCAGTTCACTGTACTGTACTGAAAATACTGAGTTTCCTACAACATCTACAAAGTGCCTTATACCTAAAAGTGTATGTTGCCGGCCGCTATATCTGCTCATCATGCTCCAGTTGATGTTTTTTCTTTGCGATCTCATAACCTTGTTGGTAGTTTTTTGAAGGGAGCAAGGCATTGAAAGCCTGTTCGTTTTACTCCTGTGTGGGACCTGTACTGTATTCCTTTGTGCATTACCATTTGAACCATTGGGTGTCCCTGTGACTGCGTTTCTTCTGGTTGTTGCTTCCTCAAAACATGTCGGTGAGCTTCATGCCCTGTCAGTTAGTGAGTCATGCTTGCACTGGTTACCGGAGTATTCAGGGGTCGTTCTTTGACCTAATTCGGCCTTTCTTCCCAAGATCTTATTACCACAATTTGTGAATCCATTAATCTGGCTGCCTTTCAACTGCCCTCTTCCCACTCTAATATCGATGGGAGAGTTAATCTTTCAGCCCTGTACATGCTTTAAAGTTCTACGTAGAATCTACTGCTTCTTTTAGACAGAAGGATCAATTATTTGTCTGCTAGGGTCATGTGGTAAAGGGTAAAGGTGCACATTTGTGCTCCACATTATTATGCAGGGTTTTCATTGTAATTTTGAAGATGATATTTTAAATTTGCCCTCAATGATTCATTTAAAATGATTCATTCACAAGTGAAAACATATTTTGAACTATTCTCTTGGGTTGGAAATGGTTTGAGGCCCATTGCCTGCACTTGCTTCTTCGGGTCCTTATGCGTGCAAATCTCTGAGAGTAGAGCTGATGACAAGGGAGGGCCCTTCCCCCTTATCCCCTACACCGCATATGGAACCAATGCAAACAATCACAGAACATCAATCTCTGCAAACTTTGATAACTGCAGATTTTACAGAATAACACACACACATTTAGAGAGAAAGTGAGCGAGAAGAGAGACCCCATAGTGTGTGGCAGCACCAAATCCGAGGCTTCTTCCTGTGCTGTTCCCCGAGGCAGAGACACATGTCAGCTGCACACTGTTTACTTCAGCAACTTTTTTTTCCACAGTGTGTGTGCATGCTTGTATGTGTGTATTAGTGAGGAAGTTACACATCCTGTTGGAGCAGTCACATATCCCTTTGTGGAGTGACCTCCAACAGTATCTTTAGTAATCTGCTGCCTTTAACAGAACACATTTAAAAACAGTATTCCAGTGGGAAATGCACTAACTGCTATAATATAAAAGATTTACTTCAATAATATCTGTCGCATTTGTAGAGGCATATGTGTTCATTGTGATTAAAAAGCAGATTTTCATAATTCTCTTATGTAAATGAATATGATTATTTATATAGGAAGTTGGAGAATAAACAGGAAGAGAGCTGACTGACTGACATGATCTAAATCTATCCAGTTATAGTAACTGGCTACAGCAACAAGTGGACATTCATGCTGGTCTATTCAACATCTTTTAAATCATTCCAAGATGTTTAAAACCTGAATTTGCTCTTTAACCGCTTATACTTTCATCAGAGTACACCTACAGTGACACAATGTTTTAAATATTATTTCAAAAACAGTGATCAAAGAAGTACGTTTTTAGATTTATACGTCTGAAATGTTTCAGGTGTCATTATGACTAATCAATAATATCATATCAGTTTTTTTGACCGTTCTACTGTAAAATCAGATTCAAACAGTCTTGAACTGAACCTTTTTAATGTCTGAAAAGAAACATTACAGGTAACACGTTACAATAACATTTCATTTGTTAACTAACTATGAACAAACAATGAACAATACTTCCCCAGCTAATAAAATATGTTCCCATTAAGTTATGAAAAATGTATTTCTGAATGTTCTCTGATCATTTAAAACAGACAGTTTTAAACAAATGTTTTAAAACTCTTTTTCCTGGGTTATGCGAACGTTAAGAAAACATTCTTCAAACATTATGGGAATGTTACTTTCGAATCTTCTCTGAACATTCTAAAACAATTAAGACAATCTGAAACGTTAGACAAAAGTCCAACTAAAACATCAGGGGGGAAAATGCTCCATGACCAATGTATAAATAATGTTTTTGTGCTAACATTTTGAGAACATTATTAAAGACCAGATAACTTTGTACAAACATTCTATTAACATTTACTGGAAGAACATTTGTTCATAACTTTGAGACAACCTTGCCAGAACGTTATCTAAAGTTCTGATAACGTTTAGCTGGTCTAAAGCATTTGTTAATCTTAGCTAATGTTAATTTCAACATTTATTACAATTTATCGGTTAACAATAGTTATGCACTGTGAACTTACATGAACAAACAATGAATTGTATAAATGATGTAAGAAAATATTCTTAGTTCATGTTAACTAATGCAATAACTATTGTTAATGAATGGGACCTTATTGTAATGTTTTTCCTATATTTCTATACCCGAAGTACAACCATGCAAACATGCATAAGACACAGATGTAGAAATGCATTTACACATCAAAATAGGAATGTTTATTTATCCAGCATGTGCACATAACATATTTTAAGAAACAACAGTTGAGAAAGCGCCAAACGCATCTGTATGTTCCAGACATAGAGACACAAAGAGACCTCATCCGTTTGTAGATCTGCAGATCTCCAAAAACTGTAAACCCACATGTGCTAATGTAACTTGGCCTTGAAGAACAAGACTCACCTACACCAAGATTCATATGAACTACAGATAAATTAGTTTAAGAAAGATGTTTAGATGAATCAAAAGTGAATAAGATAACCCTGCTGAAAGGACGTGTCAGGCCAGCAGGAATTGACATGCAAGTCCAGACTGGTTTATCCTAATCTATCCAAGATCTGCTAGTCTTTTAGCAGGGAAATGTATGTTTACAATGACTCTAGATTTTAATGACAGTAACTCTATTTTGTTTTGGTTTCTTTAATCAAATATTATATATATATATATATATACATATTCAAACTCAGTACTCCTAAGAGACAACACAACATTTTGCATATATAGAATATATTGTCAATATTGCCCTGTATGTGGGTTAAAAATTTCACATAAAATTAATCTCATAACTGATAACAAGTTCAGGATGAACAAAAAGAGCAGGACGAGGTCATCAGTATCTTCTGCAATCACATCCTAGTGATTTTGTGTCTTCCATTGTTTATTCCGTTCTTTTACTAGAGGTTCTTTGAGCCAGAATAATCCATAGATCCATATATGTGACAACCATCATCCAATGAATCAGGGTGGCTCAACCTTCAATTAATCAACACAGTGCCATACAGAATAAAGCTTCATTAAGGTATGTTCTTCAGGTCATAGTTTCACCCATAGAATATCCAACTTCACCTCCATTTCATTCAAAGAAATCAGAAAGACTGACCATGTGTGAGGTTCTCCATAGTGTTTCACTGGATCACCATGGAAAGTGTTCAAGTGACTTTAATATTCAAAATAAAATACAGTATTTTCTCCAGTTCCCATCCATAAACTGGAGATCAATGAAGCCTGTAGGGAAAAAGGAAAGGCTCCTTGGGGTCTACAGTCCAAAGTGTCCAGATATTTGTCCAGTAGGCACACATCTCAGTCAGTGGTGCTCTCCATGAGGCTGCTCTCCCAGAAGTCAAAGAGTTTCTCACATGTACAGGTTGTCTGATCGGAGAATGGTGGTCTCCAGATTGTGAAAACTCTTGCCATTTAGAGTCTCCATGTGGCTGTCGATGCTGTAACATCTATGGACTTCTGTCATGGAGGAGGCCGTGTAGGATGCGGAACGCAGGGCGTCTGTGTTCGCAAATGTGCTGCCAAACTGGATGCGGTACTGGTTCCAGTGCCTTCGCAAAACACCTTGCACCTAAATAAACAAAAGAGAGGAATATATTAAGTATAATGGCAAATATCTTTATGTTTTGAGGAAAAGATGGCATTGAGGGGGGGGGGGGGGGGGGTAGCTTACCTCGCTATTGAAAAAGCAAAATATAGTGGCAACCAAAAGGCCCTGTGGGGGAAAAATAAATATTTTATAGTCCTCAGTTACAGATTATTTCTAGAGTAAACCAATGTGTATGTGTTCCACTTAAATATAAAATGAACAGAATAATTATTAATATATTAATTAATAAATAAAATGATAAAAGGTATCACTTTTTACATAGAAACAAATACATTTATATAGATTAATTAATGTATAAAAATATAGTTAAAGGCACCAATACGTTATAAACTGATAAATCATTTTTAATGTAACATTTAATTAGCTTTTTTATACATTAAAATATATAAATTATAAATGTACATTTTATAAAGTGTTTACAATCTGCATTTCTTTATCCCTAATCATAAACCTTAAATTATTCAGAACCTATTTGTATAATTACAATGTAACAAGGGCACCTTCAAATAAAGTGTAACCATAATGTGTTAATGTATATTCTTTTGTTACATGCAACTAAAATTTTAAACAAAGTTTTAAATGTCTATTTATTTGTCAGTTTGAGAAAAGTGATTAATAATTTTTCTGTACCATTTAACTATATTAAAAAAATAATAATTAATAAACAGTTTTAAATGTCTATTTTTAATGTCAATTTGAGAATGTATTCATTTATTTACATTTTTATATTTGAATTAATGAATTGATATTTGATCCCTTGCCTGTTGTCGACAACACCTACCTGGTAATGCATAAGTATGGTCATTGTGTGCAGAAATATCTCGGAGGCGAGCCGTCCGTTGGGTTTGTAGGGCAGCAGTAAATACTGAATGCCCAGCAGAGGTACAAGGATTAAAGTGGCCCTGACGGCCCTCATGTACAGACTGGATTCAGCCTGGTGGGTCACCTTCAGCTTTGTGATCAACACTCTCACAATGTTTAAAAGGAAGAAGAGGTTAACCTAAGGACAACAAGCAGATAAAAGAGCAACTATAAAGAGAGAGAAACATAATTGCAGTACCTCAAAACCAAAACTATCTTAAAGACACGTAACACAATTAAGAAGAAATACCTTTATGTGTACTATGTTTTCTCTATTTTATATTTTTCAAAATGTGAAACTTTCATTCATTTCCTGGTTTAAAAAAAAATAGAAAAAGGTATTTTGGCCACACTGTACATTCTATCATGAATTCAAAAACCTTTAAATTGTCATATAAAGAGCCAAAGATATAAAGACCCTTTGTGCCAGAGGAACAAGCGCATTCATCTTTAGAATGTTGTGTTTGAACTTCCATATGGTGGTGGTAGCTCTGTATATTTCTATAGCACTGCTGTTGAAGAGTAATTAGCTGGTGGTGAAGTGGATTTACTTATTGTAGAGTTAACAAAAGTTATCATGAGCGGAGTGATGTTTGAAGCGGATGTCATAACAATTGTCAAGTAGACCCGGAAGATTTAAAAACGAGCGGTTTATAAGGTCTATAACCATATATATTTAAGATTGGTGGTGGACCAAATAGTTTGAAAATAGGTCATTGAACCAGTCTATATTCATCATCAAGCACCATTCTGAATGTCTAAATGGCCCTGTAAACAGCAATAACGGTTTATAATGACACAAAATCAGCTTTAAACTGGCAGTTCCAGCATTGTGGAAGTCAGTCCAAGCTTTTTACGGTCTGCAAAATAATATATCACATATGAGCCCAACACAAACAACAAAGAGAACACGGCACTCTGATTAAAAATGGTCGAATGCCAGAGCTTAAGTTGATTTTTTGAAACAAGATCATGCAGATACACACACATTGCCAAGGGTGAGTAGAAGATAAACAAGAGAGATAAAGAGTGAGAAAACAAAATAGATTAAGAACGCAAGAATAAAAAGAAATCAGACTTACCAACAGGGCTGCACAGATGGGCCCATGAATAATGTAGAGCAGATAAGTGTTCGAGCTTATCCAACAGCTGTGGAAAAAAGTGTGAGAAAAGTTCAGAAAGCAGAACCAATGAAAGCATGAATACTTCATTAAATGTTCAGTGACATCATTGCTATGATTTCACAAGATGTTCTACAGAGCCTCTGCCTGGTCAGCGTATTCCTAAAAGAAGATGGGATGGGATGATGGGAAGTCTAGAAAATCCAGCTTTCCCATGACAGGAATAAATTACATTTTTAAATATGACAGTTATTTTATATTGTAATATTTCACAGCATTACTATTTTTTCCCCCCATCAAATTCAAGTAGCCTTGGTAAACACATGAGACTTATTTCAAAAACACCCAAAAATCTAAATTATTCCAAACTTTTGAGCGGTATATATATATATACATATATAGACATACTTATACTGTATAAGTTACTTTAAATAACATATACATTCTATATGGTTAAAAAAAATGACAGTAATATAAAAAAATAGTACTGTTGCTCAGTATATAACTACAACCACTTATAAAGGAGGAGGGATGCTTCCTTAAAAGATATGTTAAAGGGATAGGGAATGTATGTTTTTGGGTGAACTAGCCCTTTAAAGGTGACCTATAATTCAAAATTGAATTTACCTTGGTATAGTCAAATAACAAGAGTTCAGTGCATGGACATGACATAGAGTGAATCTCAAACTGGACTGTTTTCGCGTTCTCATTTAATTCACGTTTATGAAAAACACCCCTGAAAAACGGTCGGTTCTCCACACAATACCGACTGTGACGCAATAGTCGGGATCATTAATATGTACGCCTCCAAATATTTGCATAATGCCAGCCCTCAATGCCAGGTGGAACTGCGCAGCCGAAGCATGGCAGTTGCTCAGTGTGGATGTACACATGAACACAAAAGTATTTTTTAGTTCCTTCATCTGAGCCTCTGAAGAAACAATGGGTTAATTTTATTTTCTCTGGAAATTTCCAAACGTTTCACCGACTGTTTCCTCAACTTGGGCCAATACAGAGCTGGCCTCGGATCGAGCTACCAAGCAACACTTTCTGATGTGTAATTGTTCAAGTTCAGACAGGTAATCTTTCTCTCAAAATTGTTCAATACTGTTTATGCATCAGTAAGTCAAGCCAGTGACTAAAATATCAGCTTCACATCGTTTCTTTTAGTAGGATGAAAATAATCGTATTTAAATTGTGAACAAATTATATACAGAAAGCGATCAAAGAACAATCTTTCCACACAGCGCGAGTTTATCTGGACACTTGCCAAACTCGTTATGAAAATCAATGACGCACGTTACTGCACAACGAAGCTCTTACTGTATTTACATCATCGTGTTTGCATTGGTGAAAGCAGAGAGAGTGCAGAAACTGCTTTGAAATGATTAGATCTTCATTCTCGCGATCAACACACTGTCATCTGCTCAATGCTCATCACGGCAACATTTTATGTGATGGGAATAGATCTAAATACTTTAAAAACATCTCACGATTCGTTAATCTCGATAGCTGTTATAGTAAAAACGTATAATAGCAGTAGTAAAAGTATTCGGGAGAGAGTTTCACATGTAATGCGTAGCTATTTCATATGCAACCATGTCAGCCAATCACAGCAGTGGCCGCGGTTACACTGAATCCCACAGCAGACACGCCCCTTCAAACAGAGTGTTCAAATCAGAGGCTAAAAGCTGGCTAGGAAAAATGCCATTTATTTCTAAATTATGATTATTTTTTATCTAAAAAACATACTAACATTATAAGGGTAACCCAGGAAACATTATAAAATAATAAAAAAAAACATTCTAGGGCACCTTTAATGGAATCACTATGGAACCAGAATCATTAAACAAGATCAGAATTGTTACATTTCTTGTCATGTCTGTTGGATTTAACTCACCTGTCATTGTAGTAATAACTTCGGGATACTGCATGTATAAGTGCAGGTATTAACGGGAAGCCTGGAAAACATTTGAAAAGAATACCATTATTAAAAATGTTAATGAAACAGCAACATTGATCAAACAGAAATCCAGTTCATTTTGGTGCATTTTTGGTAAGTTGATTAAAGAAACATACCCCATCCTAGAAGGTAATACCACATGAGTTGCTGTTTCTCAGCAAACACTGCCACCACAATGAGGGTGTGCAAGTAGATCCCTTCACACAACATCCAGAAGTAGTTACAGCCCAGGAGATAATGATGGATAAACACGGACACTTTACAGCTCACCTGGGAGAAAACACATGTTTTAAAACACAATATGACCCTGTTCACTTTCTTGATACACATTCCTGGTCATATTGTGCATGACATGAAAGCCCACTATTCTATTTGTACACTTACTGGATTGGCTTGGGTTAATTCTTGGTTGTTTACAACACAAGTGAAAAAGATGATGGTTATAACCGAGTTCAGCACAAAGGAGAAGAAGAGATTCTTGTGTAGAGTTATCCTTTGGCAACTTAAGCTCCTGAGTGGGGAAAAAAACCCAGGAAACTATATTAGACTGGGTGAAAAGAAAGGTAAGTTTTTATGATACGACAATAAGATTTTTTCATGTGACTTACTTAAAATAGAAAAATATCCCCAGGGAAGTAAACAAAGATATCAGCGACAATCCATGACCAATCAAAGCCAAATAGTAGAGATTAAATGTTGTCTAAAAAAAAGAAAAGAAAAAAGAAACGTTATATATACAAAATTTACCATTCAATATGAGCAAGAGAAAATAAATTACACTACCAGTCAAAAGTTGATGTTTTTGAAAAAAGTATCTTAAGCTCACCAAGGCTGCATTTATTTGATCAAAAATATTTTCTATTATATTTTGCAATGTAATTTATTCCTGTGCTGAACCTTCAGCATCATCACTCCAGTCTTCAGTGTCACACAATCCTTCAGAAATCATTCTCATATGCTGATTTGGTGAAACATTTCTTTTTATTCTTATCCTAAAATTTATTTTTATTCCAGATAACATCATATGCGTTTACACAAAAATATTAACCAGCAAAAACTTGATAACCATTATTAATAACTGAGCACCAATAAAATGTAAAAAAAAAAAAATACTACCACCAAATCAGCATATTAGAATGATTTCTGAAGGATCATGTGACACTGAAGATTGGCGTAATTGCAGCTGAAAATTCAGCTTTGACATCACAGGAATACATTTTTAAATATGACAGTTATTTTAAATTGTAATAATATTTCACAGTATTACTGTTTTTTTCATCAAATAAATGCAGCCTTGATGAGCATAAGAGACTTCTTTTAAAAACACACAAAAAGTCTGAAGACTTGTAACACTTTACACGGATATCCATGGAATCCGAAAGTTTGACAACGACAAGTCTGTATTCCACACTTTTAATGACAGATACACAGGCAACACACTCCTCTCATACATGAGGGAGTGACTCTTTTTAAGCGTTACAAATAAAAGAAAGAACAAAATTATAATCAACAGGTAGAGTAGACTTATAGTCAACCACTTTTCCCTGCAAACACATTACCACGCGCAATAAGTTACATTTTAAAATATATTAAAATATAAATATTTGAATAATATTTCACAATATTACTGTTTTTGCTGTTCTGTTATCGAATAAATAGCCTTGGTGAGGATAAGAGATGGGATTATTCCAAACTTTTGACCGGCAGTGTATATAAAGCGGAAGTGTGTGAATTATGAAGATAGAATGGACAACTGGGGTCTCCAGGACACGGTGTAAAGCTAAATTTGAGCTCACCCTTTTGTGATCATTAGACTTGTGCATACAGTCGGTGTAATTTGTCCATGTTCTGTTACTCTCTGGGTGAATGAACCACTGGCCTGAATCAGTACAAATCTTCGTCGCCATTTCTGTTAAAGAACAATTTGTTAATCAGTTAGTCAGGCTTTAAATAACACGTTTATGTATAATAAGTCAACTTTATTCAACGGCAAGATAAAAGTCTTAAGTGGGACTCACCTGAGGCGTCAAAGTCAGTATAGTAGCCTGGACAGTGCTGGGCTGAAGTGACTCCTGCGTCCAAATCCTCCCAGCACATCCACCCATCCCAAGTCCGTTTACACATGGAACCATCTGCAAAAGAGTGATTTGCAGTTATTAATAAATTCATAGTTAGAATATAAATCATGTGGAATTGGTTTTAAGACCTCTCAAAGTCACCATGAAATCAAAATTGACAAATCGTATTTTTATTGCAGTATAAATTATTTCTGTCCAGATAATTTTTTATCGACATTCTTACATCTTCTCTGATAATGTATTTACTGGTGTGATAGCGGGACAACCGGTCACTCACATGACATCACAGCTATAGCAACCCACAACCATCCAATAATTTCCTAGTGGACAAAATCAAGTCCCGCCCTACATTGTTTGAGAAGCTGATTTATTCGGATGTACAGTGTTTAGCATAAGTGAATAAACCCATGCTAAAGTTGACTAAAAAGAGGATAAAAAAAATCATCTTTTGAAAATGTATCTTAATGCCTTAATTAAAAAAAAAGAGGAAAAATCCAACCTTTAAGGACACCAATTTTCTTTGTGAATGAATAATGTATCGTAAATAAATAAATGTTCTTCCTTAAAATAGTGGGGGCATAAGTCAGGACACCCCTATGTTAAATTCCCATAGAGGCAGGCAGATTTTTATTTTTAAAGGCCAGTTATTTCATGGATCCAGGATACTATGCATCCTGATAAAGTTCCCTTGGCCTTTGGAATTAAAATAGCCCCACATCATCACATACCCTTCACCATACCAAGAGAGTGGCATGGTTTTATTTCAGTAAGCCTAATAGCTGGTTTGATTTGCATTGAGAGATGATCTTATGGAAAAAAACCCAAGGGAACTTTATCAGGATGCATATCCTGGATCCATGAAATAACTGGCCTTTAAAAATAAAAATCTGCCAGCCTCTATGGTCATAGGCGTGTCCTATCCTATACTATAGTCTATAGCATATGTAACATGTATCTGCATTTTCACATGGAACTAAGCTAAATGCACTATACAAATGTAATTAAAATGTGTCTATTATAATATTAGGTTAAAAAATGTGTAGAGAAAAGATACACTGTAAACTTATCACAAAGTAAAACTATTTTACAGATAATAGTTTGTTTTGGCTTAGTACAATGATGATAAAATGACTGACATTGACTGTGATTGGATTTTGCGAAAAATAAGGTGCCCTTTTTTACACACAAAATCTATATGTGCCATTATATTTTAGGAAGGTCTTTCCATTCCAAATAGATCGTCAGTTTTCGGGGTCCTTGCCAAAAAGCTTTTACCAGCTGTCATGGAACATCCTCCTCCCCTTGTGTAAAGCTTCATCTGTCGTCCTTCAACTGTAACATGCGTCTCATACACAGCAATGAACCACAGAATGTTTCCATTCAATCATCCTTTCACATAAGAGCTTTCCTGTAATTTTCAGGATGATGTGACAAAACATCATGCGGTTTCGGTCCCCTAATGTTCTTACGAGCATCCAAGTCAGAGATTGACCGAGAGCAGAAAATAAACCTCCCTTTTTCAGTGGAATAGCCATGACTAGCAGGCCTTTACTAAACAACAAACCCAAAGTACAATGGCAAAAGTCTTAATAAAAAAATCATTATAAAAACCAAACTGTTAGGTGGTCCAAACCTGCATGAACGCTTTCAAACGTCTTGTTTAAAAGGTTAAATGGGCTTAACTGAAAGATGCTGATCTGAGATTCTGAATATTGTTCTAGATCCAACAAACGATATGTCTGAGCATAGTTTATAGCCATTGCTCATAGTCAAGAATCTTTGTGAGATAAGAACTTCTCACCTGTTCTGTTGTGATTCGTGTCTTTCATAATCTTCTGGAAACATTCAAACTGGGCGGTCAAAATATTGTGGCGAGCAAAGTCTAAATCATGGGGATTCTTCTGTGCCATACCTCCAGTGTTGTTCTCTGAGAGGACCACCACGAAAAACTGTTGAAAAATACGAAGAAAAGAGAATGAGATGACATTAGCTAATAAACAATAGAGAATGGCAGATAGTACATAAACCTTAATTCTTGCATACTCCTGATTCGAATACATTTGTTTTGTTATGCTTAAAGGGATTATAATGAAAAGTTGTCATCATTTACTCACCCTCAAGTTGTTCTGCATGAAGTTCTTTCTTCTTTTGAACATAATGAAAGAAAATTTGAAGAATGTTGGGAGCTAAATCGTTGCTGGTCCCCAGGGACATCCATAGTATATTTAAAAAAATACTATGGAAGTCAATGGGGACTAGAAACTGCCTGGCTACCCACATTCTTCAAAATGTCTCCTTTTGTGTTCAGCACAAGAAAGAAATGAATACAAGTTTACAACAACTTGAGGGTTCCCTTATAAAATGATATAAACCTGTACATAATGTTTATAAAACATTGTTTATGACAAACATACCTTAGAGGTTGCCAACAGTAAGAGAAATGAGGTAATCCAGCATCCAAACATGGTTCCACTGTTTGGCTTTTGTGTATCCAAATGATCTGAATGCAAACAGAGATTATTTAACATCTAAAGAATAGAGTGATGGACAGACACATTGCAAGTATTTAGGTTATTTCTTAACCAAACAAAGAGTATAGAAGGTGAGCCAAAATAAAAAAAAACATAAAATTAGAGATTTCCCAAAAGATTTTCTGTTGGTTATTTTCATCAAGTAAATTCTCATTTCCATGAAAACAAGCCATTAGAGCCAGGTGAACTGTGGAGCTATTCCGCTCCCAGGAGTGCAGTAATAGCACTGTTGTAAGTTGGAGAAGGGGGGCGAAATCAAAGTCTGCTTTACATGAAAGTTCAGTCCATCAGGAGGCCGATCATCACCACAAAAGGCAAGGCGGCATCATTAAAGATACATTACACGGTTCACCATGGCTGTTTTGGCTTGCACGATACAAATAACATCATAAATCAGCTTCAAAGCTTAGGAAGATCTGTTATAGCCACAATAAAGTTACTTGCAAACAGAATTTACTATTTTTACATGCTAATATTTTATGACATCCTGGACTACAGTCTGATTATACACAACCCCAGTTTATTCTTTTTATGGTGTTCCATGTGGAACTATCAGAGCATTCCAAAACATCTTTAACATCTGCCTTGATTCTGCTGTTATTTCCTTTTTAAATTAATACCTGTCGGTATGGCCATGGCCAAGGGGCTGAAACGTCATGTGATTCTTTTGTTCGGCCTCCAAACATTTCCTGCTTGGATGAGGACCCGAAACCACATGACTAGACTCATATGTAGAAAATTATCCATTTGGATTTGTCTTTAGTCTTGAAAATGAATATGCTTCCCAGAAGTCCAGACAAAGTGAATTAACGTATGTGTGGGTTTTTTTATAACTTCCATTTGAATAGAAAATATTTCTTGATGCAAAATGGTAATTATCGTGACGTTCGTGCAAGACTTTTTGTCGCACTATTGTAATGATACCAATATATGAATTCATAAATAATACGAAATGTATTATACTGTATATAGAGTTCACGTTGCTTTATCTGTTTTAATTACATGAAACTGCATTAAATGAGGAAGAATTCATCTGCCCTTTATGATGCACATTAGATATATGTTCTGGACTGACTAGTAATAAATAAATAATATTGTTTTAATTTTCATTTCACTAATTAAATTAATTTGTTAATTGTTCCTGATATGGCAGATCAGATGATGCAACATAATTAAGAGAAAATAAGTTCTTAATAGGGACAAAGTTTAACAACACTTGAATTATACATGAATTATACACTGCATTAAAAACAAAAAATCAAAGCAAGTGGCACTTGCTAGCAAATTACACTAAGAGCTTTTCTCAGATCTAACTTCACTTTTTAACCAACTCAATTTGACACAGGTGTCTAAGCAGTGTTACCACATAAACTGTGAACAAGTTCTATTCATTTGGCAACCTAAAAAAATGTTATGCACTAAAAAAAATTTTTTTGAACCACATATCTATTGTTTTTTCATTTAAAGCAAACATCTTTTTGTTTTGTTTAAAATGTACTTGGTTAGATGTAATCTAATCTAAATGCAGTGACTGCCTGTCATACATTTTTAACTGTGGCTGAAGTCACCAAATGTTTTAGTGGGATACTGTATGCCTTGTTTTCTGTCCAGAATGAGAGCTATGACAAATTACTCCTCCAGAAAATTCACTGCAAAATCACTAAGACTTTCCGTCTGAATCAGTAAGTCAGAGTCTGTAGATTACTTCATTCAGAAAACCACACAAGTCAAGACTGTTGTAGTTCCAAGCTTAATGAATGTCTCTCAGATACTGAAGAGTGTAAACATTGTGATACTTTTTTCAACATTGCTTGATTTGAAAATCCCAGCCAGCTCAACATAATGTTGGCACAAACAATGGCATGAGTTTGGGGCCGGACCTTTCTCCAGTCACCCAGTGTTCGGGAAACCCGTTTGAAAACAGTAGTCAGTTGCGTCATTTGTAATCCTAACATCATGGTCACTATTCTTCAGTGTGTGTCCACTGTCCAATTGTTTCTAGTTCAGCCAATTTGGTGCCAGTTCTATTTGTCTATTTGCAGAAAATATTTGTCTAAACAATTTAACATTTAAAGAATTTAGAATTTAAGTGTTTTTGGGTCAACAGCATTGACCCTGACAGATCCACTCTCAGTCCTTCATTCCAGATTAACAGGCAGCCATTTATTGAGAACTACATATTTGTACACTCTTAAAAATTAAGGTTCTTCACTGGCATAAATGGTTCCATGAAGAACCTTTAACATCCATGGAACCATTCCATTGCACAAAATGGTTCTTTGTAGAGGAAAAGGGTTCTTTAGATTATTAAAATGTTCTTTATACTACGAAAACATGGTTCTTTAAAGGTTCTTTGGGGGGCCTGAAATGGTTCTTCAATGGCATTGCTGTGAAAAACCCCTTTTGGAACTTTTTTTTTTTTTTAGAGTGTACTGCGCAAAATTAATTTGTCATTTCACATGTGACATGACAGTTTATCTGTACCTACAATCTTGATATACATATTATTTGCCAGCTGTCCATATACAAAGATATCAGAGCGGTTACATTGTCTTTCTACACTGAATACTTTGAGAACCAAAGCTCAGAAGGAAATGTAGAAGTTATAGTGAGGTTTCTTCGTTAACTCAAGATCAACAAGGCTGATGACTGTCTGTGGAACTATGAAATAGTAGCAGCATATATTAAGTGCGCCTTGATAAATAAAATTTCTTAATCGGCTGAACGTTCTCTTGACGTTTTCTTTCACAATAAACCACTGTTCATTCATCTACATTAAAAATACAGTGACATGATGAAAGAAATACAAAACAGACCATAAAACTACTTAATGAAACTTTAAGAGAGGAAAAACAGCTATAAATCTTGTACCATTCAGGTGTTGGCAGTATAGGCATAAATCACGTGTCATTCCATAAGGAATGTGAAAATGAAGTGTTTTCCTAGACATTTTGGATGATTGGATGACCCCAGAACTTGGTGAAAAAACAGAGGGCCGAAACATGATAACTTTTTGACCTTCCTGTAAAGCTAAAGGAGTGGTTTATAGATGTGACATTCCCAGAGACTTCTCTCTCTCATACCCAAACCCTCGATTCCCTCCCTCACTTTCTCTCTACTGGGCCTGGTCACAAAAAGACACCCTCCAGACCTTCAATCAGGAAGCACAATGACAGTTAGTTTAACTCATGTCCGTTTAGGATACACCCATGAATATAACATTTTTTCCACTCTTCACTTATATGGATTGGATTTATCTTAAAATGACACAGCACAAAGTGGTATTAAGCAGAGATTATGTGCATATTAACTTTGGCTAAATTCAAATAGTTATAATTTGATTAAAATCATTCAGTCATTTCTAAAGAAATTTCAATATAGCTGGAATCTCAAGCCTTTTTTAAAAGGTTTGCCATCAAATTAATTTGAGCATTCCACGTTAACGTAATGATAACAAACAATAAATTCCTTAAAATGTAAGCAGTAAACATTTTTATGTAACAGTTATACTGTTTGTCAAATCTTAATATAAGTCAAAATAATATGAATGGTCAAAACCCTCCAACACAAGTACAGTAAAATATGTTAATACACTATTTTTCTCAAAACGGGTCTTCTTTAAAACTTGTGCTCACAGTATTTATTTATACTTATTATGTTTTAATCAAGTTATTCAGAAGAACACAGCTACAAACTTTAATTTTCAATTAAAAGACATCAAAGTTAATTAGTGGCCAGCTGATAGGGTTTTATTTTTTTAATTTTTGATGGCAGATGGTGGCATTTAGGGTGTCACCAGGACTGTAATTCTGACAATTATAGTTTAATAGCAGCAAATAATTGCCCAATTTAGATAAACACACACGGGGACAAAGCTGTCGGTAATTAATTGTCTCAAATACTCAACACTGCTGATGATAACCTTAAAATGGCCAAATAGGCTATTGATTATTTTGACAGATTAACCAATAAATCAGTCTGCCACTACTAGTACTTTGAAAATGGCAGTTTTAATGTTGTATAATGTTTCAATGTTATTGCAAATGTAATCACTCTGAACACTGATGAATGTACTGAAATTAAGATAATTTACCAAACTGTCAGTCTTGACTAGAAAAAGGTGATTTCGTCTAAGCTGGTATGCTATACCTGAACCTTTCAAGCTTTAAAGGTTACTCAATAACAAGCAAATTAATAAGTTATGTAATTTAGAGTGATTCGTTACGCTAACAGCAAGAAACCGAGTTTAATTAGTTTAAAATTTAAGTTAAAAAATTTAATTTAAATAAGTATATAAATAAACTATTTCAGTTCTGAGCAATGGCACATCAGGATCTAGTAAAGTTTGCGCAAGTGCGCAATGAGTTTATTTAGTAAACATGAACAGAGAATAAGCGTCGTAAGAGTAGCCGAAATCTACATGTTGACATGTGTTAATTAATAAATTAATAAATTCTCGCTGTTACCTTGTTTGATCGCTCCTCCGTTGTCCGCTGTGGCAGTGTGTAGTGGGAGATGTTCTCGGTGATGAGTTGAGGGCCCTGAAGCAGCAAAGGAGTGTGTGTGTAACGGGTTTCCTGTGACATCAGCTCATCTGAGTGTCCCGTTACACTCTGGCTCTGCAAACGAGAGCGTTTTAGTTTTGTCGCGTCGCGTCGCCAGCTTCGCTGATACAATGTAGATGGGATGTAGACCAGAGTGAGCCTGCTGAAAATATCAAATATATAGGCTATATATAAAAAATAAATTATGAATAAAAATAAAAAACCTATTAAAGAAGTCTAAATAAAAATAAAATAATAAATAAATAAATGATTGAATGAATGAATACGATGAGTAAGAATGCATGATCGCGAAATTGATTGTGTCTGTGATTTAATTAAACTACGTTTAATTTAAACGAAAGTCCAAGCTTATGCACAGAATCGTTTAATACATAATCTGCTAATATCAAAGAAAACACAAAAGCTA